GATCAAATATATGCAAAATTAATAGATAAAATAATATGAAAGTAATGAATATATTTATTATTACCTATCCTTATAAGAAATAGATGCTGGCCCAACCATCGCCTTAGCTCAAAATCTTCTTGTACAATAAATTTAGTTAAGATGACGTGATACCAGCATGTGTTGTCTCCGTCTTACAAGTGCATAACATACCAAATTTTAAGCTCAGCAAAACACGTGTAGCAGGTAGCTCCTTTAATTTAAGAATTAAAGTAAATCAACCTCTTATAAAATCTAAAGGTAAGATTATTATCTAGACAACTTCTTGGGCTTTTTATAATATTTTAATTTTTAAGCTAGTTATGAGTACTTTATGATCTATAAACAATTTACAATTTTAAAATACTCATAGCTCGCTTAAAAATTAAAATATAATAAAAATCCCATAGTGTTGTCTAGATAATAATCTTACCTTTAGATTTTATAAGAGGTCAAATCACTATAATTTTTAAACTAACGGAGACAACAGATGAGGGTATCACGCCCTCTTAGTACTGCATCCATTACGTGGTTAAAGCAATAGGTAGCTACACTGCATACTCAATGACGATTTAGTATTAGTACACTCGAAACCTTATATAATATTATACGGCAGAGCAGGACCTACCTCATTATTTTTACTATCTAAAAAATAAACTTAAATAGTATACAGGCATATATGTATAAAGGTACTTATAAACTATAATTTATGGAACTCTTTAACTTTGTCTTAATAAAATATTAATATTCGACTACTCATCGTGTACACAGACACAAAAATTAAAAAATTAAAAAACTAAAAATATAAAAATTAAAAAAAAAGCACACATCATTGTAAAATCAATACATTCATCGTTCCACTCAGAATCTAAAATTAAGTCATAACAGATTTAATGGTAGGAAAAAAAGTCCCGGGATAAAAGTCTTGGGGGTATAAAAAGTCTGTTTTCTAAAGATAATATCTAATAATTATGTAATCGCATATAAAAGGTCACTATTAAATACAAAACAGAAAATTACATTACATTACATAATTATAAAAATCCTAGTTCTATAAATTGTTATCTCTGTAACTTTTAAAAACTATTTTAATAAATACAAAACAGATATTAAACAAAAATAATACCTAATAATTATAAAATTATAAAAAAATATCTCATTGAATCTTAGTTAATAATACTATTGGAAAACTAAACATATCCATATGTCACTAAGTTAGATGTCAGAATAGAAAAAAATTATTTTAATAAATTTATGAACTTTTTTTAACCGAGACTTTTTTTCCGTTCCCCGACAGATTTATACGGGGGTGCAGCAAGCTACACCACTGCTTTGTTGTAAAATGATTTTATCTGTCATTCTATCTATAATCTAAAGCTATAATCGTAGCAAATTGTCTACAGCAATTTTGGTTATAACCAAGAAAATATTCTTTTATTATCTATGGTTATAACCAATTTCTAATTTGTTTTGAACATAATCATGTCATTTAAATTCAATAATTTGTATTGGTAATCAAATAACAATATAATTGATAAGATATTAAAAAAAAAATACCTTTTTTGTATCTTTTATTAAGTTTGAAGTTATAGTTATGACTTATGAATTTCATATTCATTATATCATATGGCGCTATAATTCAATTAAAAAATAAAAAGCCTTGGGGGGGGATAATCACCACAACGCCCCCCTCTCAAAACTGCCCCCAGCCATAAGACATAATATATGCCTGTAAAAAAATCGCACATCTCAATTGCAATGAGCCAATGACCGTTTTGCAATATGGACCGCAATATTATCTTAAAAGCGTTTCACGAAACACTTTACCGTAATTTTGCTACCTCAATAAATGTACCTATTAATAATTTGTTGTGCTAAACAGAAAAACACAGGTATCTAATTCAGTGTAAGAATCATCTTGAGGTCCAAAAAATAACAATTCACAATATATTATAATAAAAATATGTTGACAAAGTTTTACAATCAATCGATTTAGATATTACTCTGTAACAAATTCGTATGATTAAAACATTATCTTACAAATAAAACGCTCGAACGATATAATAAATACATTTCAATAAGAAAATGAGTATTTAAAAAAATTAATACAGAGTACGTTGCCATTAAAACATATTAAACGTCTTTGATATAAAATATAATTAAACGATTTTCGATCGTTATAATAACATAAAATATATAATATTATACTTAATACTAGTCAATACAACCCATTAACATATTTCTTTGTTTTATACAGCATTGTAAAAACCTTAAACATTACTCGAACTTTACTCGTTATTTATGGGTTATTATAACTACTTTAAACTAAAATCAGTAAAGTACCTATATTTACATGTTCTTATAATAATAATTTCAAGTCAATTAGGTATGTAACTTAGCAGGGCTGTTACTAGGGCTGTTCTCACAATGTCCGGGTAAGTGTCGGTTGACGCTAACTGATTGATAACAGACTTTATTACCAGCAGAATTCCGCAGGTTAAGTGTCCGTTAACTCTAACCGGACATCGTAAGAACGACCCTTAAATAATGCAGTGAACAATATAATATAATAATATTTAAATACTATTGATATTGTAGAGTAAGTTTTGGTTAATATAATCATCTAATAACTAAATTATTGATTATTTTGGTTATCTAACCAATTGCCATGTACAATTAATAATTAATCACCACTTATCAGTTCATCACTCAAGCCCGGATTAAGGGGGGGTCCAGGGGGGGCCATGGCCCCCGGGCCTCCATTTATTTAGTGGCCTCAGATTTGTCCATTATAGGCTATAACACCTCATAAATCACTTTAAAAAAATCGATGATTATTTAGCGAGGAAAAAAGCTTGTAAATTATAATTTATAAATAAAATGATACTATTAATTCATGATTTATTGCTATGTACCTAATACCTATATATATTTATTATAACAGGTACCTATATATTATTATATTAATATACATTATTTTTTTTTCGTACAGGGGCCTCATTTAAACTTTGGCCCCTGGGCCTCAAAATGTCTTAATCCGGGCTTGTCATCACTATGAATCGGACTACTTTGTTGAATAATTGTACCTATTTTTAAGCTCTACCCATATACGTTTCTGAAACCCTTCTAGTATAAAAGTACCTAATAAATTACAGAAAATAAACGAATATAAAACAGCACCGGTTCATACCTGTAAGTTATTATTTATTGGTATTTTTTACGCCTTAATAAGTACATCATAATTCATAATAATTGACAACTCTGATAATATATGGGCAAATATTTTTAATTTCTCAATACGGATGTACATTGACACTTTTATACACTACGGTAAACGGCCATCAAAGGAACGAACGAAAGTAGAAAACAAATCTTACAAAACGTGTAATTATTAATTGTGTGATAAAATTAAAAATATTATGTTTATCAAGTATACCTACTCCAAAAAAAAAATAATGTTTGTGCAGGGTCAATGATGTATTATACTTCATAAGATTTAAAAAATGTTCATTCCTCGAGATGAGCTGATAAAAAAATAATAACTTATAAACAATTTCGATGTTTGAAAAATATTTTACAACGGCTACGGATTACGGAATACGGAAAACAAGTTACAGAGATCTGAAACAGTGTCAAAATTTAAAAAACAATTTGTTGGTAATCTGTACTCTGTCCGTAAGAAGTAAGTACCTACCTAGTTGATAACAATAGAAACCGTTTTATGATATATATTATTATTTTATGTCATTCTCAATATTTTTGTAAAGTCAAAAAATAAATTGTTTCATGTACCTATAGGTGCATACCTACATCGAGAAGTTAATAAAATCGGCGTAATATATTATATCATATCATAGTACACTCAGACTCAGTTGATATTAATTTGCAATCGAATAATTATTATGTACCTAGTGCACATCGTTGTTATGTAAACAATAAATGGCAAGTATAGTAGTAAAGCAGAAAACTATGTAATCGAAGTATTATTTCATCAAACTAAAAGTGCAATTAAGTAGTTAAAATGCATTATTTTAATTTAAAATTATGTCCATAATAGTTATTCATAAAAAATAAATGTTTATTGGTTATTTTATTTCGTTAAGCTATTTTTATTTTTAAAAACGTACAGGCAACGGCAACGGTTGAAAATCCAAAACTTATTATAACTTTTTTTTTAAATTTCGTAAAAAATAGTATCTAATTTTTCATCTAGACAAAAAAATAAATAATTATCGGAATCGACTTTCAGTTACTTTGGATTTGGGGCTTTATTGAACAACCACTGATTTAGAATTGAAACATTTGAATTAACTTCAAACAACCCCCAGGTCAATAATAAGTTGTATATTATTATGCTTTTAGTTATTGCATTTACATAATATTATATAGGAGTGATTTAAATAAACAGTTTTGTTTGGGCTGACATTTAGCCCCCCCCCCCCCCTTAATAGGGCTTGCATACTAAAACCAAATGGTTGTTAATGTCATAATATAACATTGTCATGTGGCGATGATCGCGGTCAAAAGTGCATTCTTTCATTTTTTTTTACGATTTTTCGTCTTACACGTAAATAAAAAATAATAAGTTCGGTAATCGACATCCGTCCATAACGAGCGAATAAAATAAATAAAATATGTTATTTCATAGCTTCTCTTATCCGTTCTGCTTCAAATAATCGCAGACGGTAAGAGCACAAATCAGTGGTGAGAGGTCGTGGGGTAGTGCGAGGGCAACAGCAGCACATAGTTTCAACGGGGATGAACATCTAGCTATAATATAAGGGGGGGGACAGGTGGTTGTGAGCTAAAATTGAACGGTTTTCAATATAAACATGTAATATTATCATTGTTGTCGTGATAAGTATAGCCATCCAGTATAAAGCCAGAGAGTAGCATTGGCCCCAGCCAGTGGCGAACGCAGGGGATAGGGTTTACCCCCCCCCGACATGTTTCATGCGTTCGCCCCTGGCCCCAAAGGCGACCTAAGACGCCGACTGCATCATCGCAGCGCGTCCCTTGGTGGCCGGCTGCTTCAGCGAGTGCGGCGGAGCTTCGTCCCGGACCCGGTGGAACACTTTGGTGCCGAACTGGAGCGCCGCGCCGACCGGGAACTTGACGTTCAGCCACACGGAGAACCTCATGTTGTAGTTCAACAGCGGCCGGAACACGGCGGCCAGCCAAGCGCGGGTCAGCAGCACGGCGTGAGTGTACACCTGCACGTTGTACATCCACCGGCTGTACCGGGTGACCAGCGGCCGGCGCACCGGTACGCCGCACAGCTCGTGAGTGAACGCCATGAACGCTTCCGTGTCCAGCATGGGCGAGATGGGCTTCATGCCGCTCAGCAGCGCCTCAACCATGTGCTCAAACCTCGGCGGCGGGTTCAGCAGCCCCGGCGCGTACACGTCCCGCAGGATCAATGCGCACGTGCCGCGCACCTCCTCGAGCGAGCCACAGCACAGGTTGTACCTGCAACCGTAACAATGTGTCATTAGGTATATATTATAATAGCCAATAGGTATACAGGGTGATCCATTTAACGTAAGACACTTTATCGTTTAACCATCTACTTTTCGCATAGTAAGTGTCTTACGTTAAATGGAACACCCTGTATTTATTTATTTATTTATTTATTGATGACCTATATAATATACGAGACTAGCCAAAACGTTGTAAAGAACGAAGGTAGTATAGGTATAAGACTAAACTAACATTAAGGTTAAAACTAGAACTAATAAGTAATTACTACAACCTAACTCGCTGTTGAGATAAATTTATAATTACACAATATAATAATGGAATGCAAAAGACGATTCGTGGTTTGCAGTGCGCATTAGCCGAGTAATCGGGGAGTTCGTCAGCCGTCAGGAGATTAGTCGGTGAATAGTTGTGATTTGGAAAGGGACAAATGTACGAGTGAGGCATGGGAGAGGGAACTTTGGAGACAATTTAAGATAGGAGACTAGGTGAATCGGTTTTTTCTATGTACGGATTTTTGAATGAAAAGAAAGGTTGTAAGTAGAAGATACGAGCTATACATCATACATAGAAATATTACGTATATTAAAATATTTAACTGCTTATACAACTACCACAAGAAATATAATATTCAAAACGATTTTATCTTTAAAAATTCCGAAAACTACATAATATTACTAATTTACGTATTTATTAAAACAAAACTTGATATATTTACCACCTGTATTTACATGTTATACAATAAGCAAATTTGATGAGACATGATTGACAGAAGAGAAAGTCACCCAATGAAAATAATACGAAGTATATTTAAAAATATAAAATATAAAATATAAAAAGGTAAAAAATACACAATCGTGTTTTTTTTTTGCTAGGAAAGAGGTAAAACTTCAGAAAACATATTTGAATTTGTTGTGAAGTTCACTTGAATATGATTTTTCACTTTTTTGAAATTGACATCCTAAATTTTTCAAAATTAGATTTTTTAATTTTTAATATTAAGGGGATCGCAGCATACTGTATTTTTCATACGTTTTAGACCACTAAACGATGGTAAATTACTCCTTAGAACATGATACGCTGGAGCCCCCTTAAGAATTTTAATAACATTGGAGTGAACAAATTAATATAAATATGTATTCAAGTAAATTTCATGTGCGATATCAAACATATTTTCAGATAAATAGGTTAGTATTAATACCTGCTGGCAAAAGATTGATACTTTTATCAACAAATAAACTAAATAATTAATATTCGTGTAATACGTTATTGACATGTGAGTGCACGTGCGGGAAATCTCCGTTATTTATTTTACACACAGTCACACCACGCATACTTATGATCAATTTCTACTCAAAAATATTTTTAAAAAAATTGCTTAATAGTAACTATTAATATACTGAACTTCTAAAAGATAGTTAATATACTGAACTTCTAAAAGATAGTCGGTATCGAATCCCCTTAAATAATACCACACATTATACCTACTTTTAGTACTATTGTTCTTGAAATTCAAAAACTACATATTATAATATAATTTTTTTTTTCAATTACATAAGTAGGTACCGACATATTCTGCAAACAGCATTAATTCTAAATTTTTAATTGTCTGAAAAATTAAAAAAAAATGATTACAATTCTAGTGTATCATGGTATATTGTCTGGTTGGTGTATCATTATTTATTATACAGTAGATTAATAATTAAGATAATCCTATAAAAAAAAATTATTTTCCCTGACCAGAATATTATAATATAGGAGTAATAGGACATTGATTTTTTAAATTATTTAAAGCGTACCTACGTAATTCTATAAAAATAAACTCGCTATAGGTACGATTGCACAACACTACAACACTTTAACCACGCCCAACAATATACAAAAAAACGTTGTTTGTGTTAGGGGTGATGAGTTCGTCACCCTCAGAATGTACAAAAGTCATAATATTCAACACTTAATATTAAAATATCAATACTACAACCTACCTAACCGTTTAAGTTGTATTTGGAATAATATTAATTTATCAAATACTATAAAACTATTGTATAAGTATTTAATATAGATTCGTAATAAATATACTTATTTAACTACTGCCTGTGTCCTACATAATATTGAATTCATAATGTTAGTGCATTAGTCAGTACACATAATATAACGAAAGCCAAATAATTAAAATATGTGATAAAACACTACAAAATGATTTCGATTGGATAATTAATAAACATTTTTTCCAATAATTACATTTTCCTATATAAGTTTTTAAAATATGTCTTAGTGCCTTAAAGTTAACATTTAAAAACTAGATAAAACAACGATTCTGTTTCACTTGACACTCGTGTAGTATATAATATATATATAATATTATAATGACTATGAATTCGACCTAATAATATTATAGATAATATTACTCACTTGTCTTGAATTCCCAACATGTATCCAATAGTTCGCCAAAAATGCAGAATGGCCCTTTCATCTTCTTCGGTGCCCACAATAGCCAACTCTTTTTTTCTCAACAATAGTAAGCCCATGAACCCAAATTGAGTTAAAGCCATATCTTTTTGAGTTACTCGAAGTCCGAGTCCAGACTTATTCGAAACTCGATTCGCAGCACAATGAAGTCCGTGTACAATAGCCACAGATATTTGAGATCTAAATATAATATAATTTAAAGTAAACTGGTTTTCATATGTAATTGACTGGAGAATATTTATTAATTGTGATTGTGATTGTATATATTATGTAGGAATATACTATAAGTTACTTATATTTTTTTAAGATTTTTGATATACGTCATTAGGTCCAAGTACATTAGATCAGTGTTTCTCAACCTGGGGATCGCCAACTTATTATTTAGGGTCACTAACCTATGATTTAAATTTTAAATCAATACGAAAAATAAAAATCTCAAGTAATAAAAAGATTAAATCAATAAATGACAATAATACCTACATAATACAACTAGTATATTATATTATCAAGAATAAGTCTAAATATAACTTAAAACCGAAAGCACACTATTAGAAATGTTACTGTTTGACGTTTATTAAAGAAGAATCTATAATAAACTGCGAATATAGATTATCAGCCATGATAAGGCCGAAGTACCTAGTGCATTAAGAGAACAATTTTCCAAATATTTCGAAAAGACATTTTTTATTTTGAAATACATTCGTAAAAATTATAATTTGGTAATAAGCCTATTAAATATGTAATATGATATATATATTCACTTACTTTGACTTAGCATTTGTCACGTCGTATCTATACCACCTCAGCATGTGCCTGATGGTATCAAGATACCTCTTAAAAGCGGTATAAGGATCAGAAGATTTATTTGTAAACACTAATACATCCAATATTGTTGGAACTGTTAATACCAATATTAGTCCAATCAAATTTGAAGCGAACATTGCATAGAAATTGGAATAAAAATACTTTTGTCCTCTGAAAATAAAATAAAGCAAAACATTTTCTAATTAATTTACTTATACAAATTGTTTCTATTATTATAAGATATTTACATAGGTACATTGTATTGTTATTCAAATTTTAATAACATAAGTACTATAGGAAATATTTTTATTTTATTTTTGGCTTTTTAATGCAGGTCATTTAGGCTCTTTGCCGCAACTATAGTAGATATGTTTTATGTGTTTATATATTAATTTATATTGTAATAATATAAACTATTTGTATAATAAGTTAAGAAATTACCTTTAAATCTATCTTAGTATAGTTTTAAAAAATATTGTATTAGCAAGAAAAATAAACTATTTTGAGAATCAATTAATTTTATTCAGAAACCATAATTTATAACTGTAAGATAAAATTCAAATATAATTTACGATCATTTAAAATTTATTGAAAAGTTACTTTGTATTTTTACACTTGTTTGCATATTTTAGACGACATAGATAATTTAAATGTAGATTACTGTTTTTATTGCTTTCATTAAGGAAAATATTTTATATTATGTTATGCATTTCATCATATTATATTCCAACCAAATTGTATATTATTATAATTAAGTACATAAATCATGAGTGCTAACTACATATTTGTGCACAATTTTAAATAAAATTTATAATTTAAATTAGGTTCAAATTTCGATTTTTTTTTTTTCGAATATTAAAATAAGTACCTATTTAATTTAATTTTTTTTTGTAGTTGACTGAAAACAAAGAAAAATTATTCTTTGATGTATTTCTGATTATTATGTTTTTATTTTAATCACTGTTGAATTCAATATTCTAAAGGCTATAATTTCGCTTTTATAATATTTATGCTTAATTAATGAGAAGAAAAATTAGCGTACAAATTTCAAGGACTTTTAAGTTATTATTAAATCCACAATAATGCTATGTTTACAAATAATGACGTTGATATATTTCATGGATATTATTTAAAATATTATGGTGTACCCATACATCATAAAATCAAAATTTAGTTATTAAGAATTAAAGTAATGTAACAGTTAGGTAATATTTGTTATGACTTTTTTAAATACACGAATCATTAAATCAGTTCAACGCAAAACGTTATTTTCGAAAACATTTAATATTAATTTTTCATTTCTGTAGGTAAAAATGTAAAATTATAATAAAAATTATATGAAGCTTTTTCTTAGTTTTAAACAAAACAATACAAATTAATGAATGCCAAGATATTCCTCTCCAGTATGTTAGGTACTTATTAAATTATTATTTTATCAAAAATCCTATTTCAAACCAATTTTTATAGCCAGAGTCAAACAAAAATTATAATCAAAAAAAGCTCAAATATTGCTATTTTAACCAATTGAACAGAGCGATATTAAATCAAAATTATTTTAAAACACAGTTTTGGGTAAATACTATTAGCTGAACGAATTCACAATAGTGAATCCCCACTTGTTTAACGAAACAAAAATCTCTCCAAGACTCGACACGTTTTTTCGACCTCAAAACAATGTTGGGTAGGTACTCGGGTATATAGCTTACATTATTGTTGTATACACTACACAGTACTATATATAGCCTATCTAAATATTAGGTATATAGATTGGAAAAATGTGACAGAATATTCAACCGATACCGTCATACCGACTGCAAACTTGTATTGTTATAATGTTATAAAATTAGTAATAACTAATAACAGACTAGTTGTGAGTTATGACTTATGAATATAACGAAACATAGGCATTACATTTGGCTACTTATCGAAAGATTAAACACCTTTCTTTTCAGAAGATTGAGCACGTTTAAAATATCACATGCATAGCTCACCACCGACCTCAAAAAACCAATACCTAGTATTCAACACGATATTAAGAGCGACGTTGCCATAATATTTATTTAATAACGAAAAGTCACACTTGTAGAACTAGGTGTATCAGTTTATGACAAATATTTTCAATAATTTTTCTGATAAGATCAGGCAGTTACCTACTCGATTAGTTTGGTGTAACTTGGAAACTTGTGATAGTTACAGATTATACAACAGTGGGTAGTCAGTGACTAAAAGTAAGTCACATTCAAAGTTATTACTAGAAGTTACCTAGGGGTTTCGTTTATTTTGTTTATTTGTTCAAGAAGATAATCACAATAATAAATATTTATTTGTAGGTGTTAATGAGAAAAGTGCATTGTGTAAGTAAAATTTTTTTTTTTTTTTTTTTTTTTTTATTGGATAACCCGCGGCAACATAGGCCATTGGGTGTTAGTGGTTTTATTTTTGTGTTTTGTTATTACGGTAGGGGGAGGAACACGTGTGTGTTGGGTTTTGGCAGAATTTTGAATGGGGCACCCGTAGGTTTCTGCCATGCCCCGGAGTGGGGGATGGCGGCACTTGTTCTCCGGACACCGTGACTTGCCCGGAGAAAAATACCGCACAGTGGTCGAGAGGATCGAACCCGCGACCGCCAGCGCCGCAGACGACGTGTCCGACCGCTCGGCCACCTCGTCCCCCGTAAGTAAAATTTGTAAGTATTATTAACCTTGAAATGTAGTAATATACCAGAATAGTAAGAAGTATAAGAGCATATTATTACTAGAACACCCTTACCACGGATAGTAACTTAAGTATAACTATACACCAATATTAAAAATCCTTTATTTTAAAAATAATTGAATTGGCTACATTGAAACAGAAAATAAAAAGCGTACCCAATCGTAATACTCAAAATATTCCTCCAAAAATGACAGATAGTCGTATTTTACCTTTACATTTTGGTGTAAAATTTTTTCTAAAACTACAAGTTGACAATTTTTTAAGTCAAGCAAAATATTGAAATATATATCTACTTAGAGTGAATTTTACCGTTACTGTTGACTGTTTAAATATAATTTTTTATGAATCATTTAACGGTACCTAAGTATTTGGGTTGAACTATTACAAGTTAAAATTTAAATTAACATCTAAATGTAGGTTAACACGTAACATCCTAACAAACACGTTATTGTTTATTTAATTTTCTGTCCCTATTTGGAACAAATAAACTACGATGTATCATGACCCTAGGTAATATTTAATTTTTTATATTTGCTTAATTATATAAATATATTTTATTATTTATTTAACAGATAAACATTTTAAATTTAATTGTTACAATGTTTATGAACAATTAATATAATAAAAATATAAATGCACTTGTATAATAATATATGTCTTAGAATAGGTAATATTTTATTTTAAATTAAACCCTTTTAATACCTAAAGTTCATTAAAAATTAGACTTTCTTAAAAACTATAGGTAAGATATTTATTAGGTAAAATAAATGAAGTTGTTTAAAAATACATTATAATTTATGTTATTAGGAATAATAGATAAACTGTATGTGGTAGGCACGTTTATTTGTCAGCGGGGTTTAATCCTTCATATACAAATATAATCATAGACCTATTTTATTACTTAAGTAGGTAATTAAAAGTTATAATAAATGAATTTAGTATTTAAGTTAACAAAGGCTGATATAGTAAAAGTACGAAACGATGACAGCTAAAACAATGAATAATTAAAACATCGACAGGGATAATATAAAGTACATATACCTGCCAATTATTATCATAGGTCAAAAGGCCGAATGCTGACATACAAAAATACTTAAAAATAAAATAACTTAACATAAATAATGATATTATATTTGATATTTATGAGTTATGACGGTCAGACGATATATGCACAGACTCAGACAAAAACCACAAACCGTCATTACAACGGGAGATAAGACAAAATACCTGGCTCCGCTAAAACACGACAGTCTATATGAGAAGAGGTATACTGCCAGACTTTTAATACAGAACAAATTGTTCATTAAGTATGAAAAAATTAAAATTCAATTAATCATCAAACCTTAATATTACTAAAATGAATAAGAAGACTAATTATAAGTTAAGGATATGAATATATAATAAATATATTATATTAAATTTATTATAATAAATATATTATATATATTATGTAGAAATAATTGTACAATAAAATTTAAAATATTGATAGGTACAGTAAATAGAAATAATCTAGGAAAATATTAGATAGTATTGGATTTACACTATTTACAGTATTGTGTGTTTTTTATTTTGTGTCTGAAGACACTCTTTTGAGTAGAAAAAATGTTCTATAACCATCAATTTTGGTGGAGCTTTCTTGTACCTAGCAAATTGGATCTAGTATATCCTTTTATGGGTCAAAAGTAGAAATTTCACAGTACCTACTTTAACAATAATCAGGGAAAAAAATATGAAAATTAACATTTTAATATTATTACTTAAATCATTTTTGGCAAAATTGGTTACAGTATGAACTTCTTATTAGAAACCTTGTTTAAAAAAATTTTTTTAAAATGTGCAGTCCTTAGCTAATAGGTTTAAGATTTGACAATTTACATATTTTGAAAATATTCTGACTTGTTTTGAGGTGTTTACGGACATTTACAGTTTTTTCTATTAGTATCATTCAAATTTTATTTTTTGGTGTGACATTTTAATACAAGGCTCCTGATATATTGTTACAATATCAGTTGAAAAATATTAAAAATACATAGGCCCAATTATATTTTTTGAGCATTTAAAGTTCAAAATTTGACAGACTTTATCAAATTTAAAATTTAAAAATTATTTTGTGTTTTGAAATGTATAAAATAATTTTTATTTTCGAAAACTGCTTTTGTATAAAATTTCCTATTTTTCCTTAAATTTTATTTTGTTTTTTTACTTTTTAGTAAAATAATATCATATATACATACAATGTAAATATGTTTTTATGAATGTTATTGTTATATTATAATGTTATGATGGTGGTTAATCGATTGCTTGCTTTGTTATATAATTTTATATCTTATGATTTTTATATGTTTTTTTGGTAATTTAATTATTAAATTAGAATTATTCTTTTAAAATCAATAATCATTAGTAATATCCTATTATGCATATTAAGGTTTAAATTTAACATTGTAACCTGTCGATAATTTATAGTGTTTCATGTTTTTCGACGTTCTACTCATATTAAACAACCGCACCTATAATATATCATAATATAGGTAATTCATTATATACGTACCTATATTATATATAATATTATAAAAGTAATTGAGTATATTATATTTTAATTAAACTATTGTACCGCATTTATTCGTATTGAAATAAAATAATTTTGATAAAACGTAGGTATGTAATCAAACTGGCTAACCGCATTATAAATAAAATAAAATATTTTTGCTCAATGGTTAGATTTGTACGAGTAAATATGTGAAATTAATGTATTCGGTGATTTGAATAATAATAGTTTTATTTTCAAGCATCAACAATTTGTATGCATTCCAATTTCCAATATTCCATTCTAATATCTAATTAATATTTCGCGCGTGCAATCAGAAACGTTAAAAAAAATACCTTATTGTGAAATTTTATTTGCTCGTAAGAATATATTATTATAATAGTGGTATACAAGTATGACACATACAATTAACCGGGTATTCTATTATATCTTAATTAACACATATTATTAATAGTTATTACTTATTAAAACTCACATAGTCACATTATATGTTCGTTAGGTAAGGTAATGCAATTTCAAGATTGGTATTGCAACAATAAATTTAGGAATGCTGAAAACTACCTACGTTATTGGAGAATTAATACATGTCATGTCATTACAACTCCATAACGGTGTATTGCATTTATTTTATGGGTGCAGTCTGCATAATAGGTAGGTATACAAACGAAACAAAAACCAACAAAATTATTCCAACGTTTATAGCTCGAGCTAATAATATTAGATATATACGTATAATACAACATAGGTTAGGTATACCTATAAAAAAATATACTCGACATTTATTGAACGACCTTCCGTTAGCTCATTTGTCACTAAAATAGTTTTACTGTTATCTTGTGTATTATCAATGTAAGGTACCTATAGGTATGTATTAGTCCACGACGTTATTGGAAGAATCGATTTTTTAAATTTTTGTTTTTTTTCTTAACATTGCAGCGTCATTTAAATGCGGCACCTATAGTAAAAGCTCGCCACATCGATAACCCATATTTATTAAGTTAGCTGTAAAGTGTCAGTAGTTAGATGGTTTTACCTGGCGAACAATACCGCGTCGAACCATTCCGGAACGTCTTTTGGCCGTGTGGTGTCGACCGGCACGTTGCACCCTTCTTCAATGATGGTCTTGAACTTCTCCTTCGCCACGGCATCGTCAGTTTTCGTCGAGGACGGCACTGCGTCAATCGATAAAATAACACAATATTATTATAACATGGCAAACGCGCATCGTGTGCGCCGCGGGGAAAAATTACGAAAATCAATAAATATAATAATACACAGTGTTACATAATAAAATCGATTATAATTTTTAATCGTTTCCGCAGAGTCTTACTTGTAAAGTAGATATTTCGGTGTGTACGGCGATGACACGAAGGTACAAAAATACCGCGATCTGGTCGTCGTCGTCGTTTCGTTCGATCGCTACGGGTGGGTCGTAAAAAAATTTTCAAATCAAAATATTGCTAAGAAAAATCCTATCGAACCGGACGTCCGTCGACTTAGTGGACTACGCGGCGCGAGGCGAGCGAACGACTGCGCAACGTTCACGTCGGTGCGCGCTCACCGTGTATGTGCAGACTATACCATCCGACCAGGATGGCTCGACGGTAGAAAGTGATGGCTAAACCGGTATTATCGTTAATGTGTGGTTACGATACGACGACCGCCACCGTCAGGGCCACCTGTCATTGCTGCCGCGGACGATTGCTGTTGTCTATAGTAGAGCTCACTATTATTATAGTTGTAGTGCCCCCTAACAGTGGAAATAATAATAATAATACAATGATAGCGATAATGATAATAATGAATGACGATAGTAAAATACGAAAAATAAAAATTAATAACAATGTAATTGACGCCAGCTGTAGTGTGTGCGTGCGTGCGTGTCCGGTGTCCCGAAAGGTTGTTTTTGCACCAACACTTCGTCACGACACGTAAAAGCACGCAGGACACGTGCACTAGTCGATATTATAACAATATACGAGCCGGACTACCGCGTTTGGTCAGGAAACGTTAGGTAGGTACCTATATATTTACGTACATTTCGTATGTTTTCAAAGTCACGATACCTCAATATCATACTAAGGTATCCGTAGAATTACCATATACCTATTATAAGTATCTACGTTGGTTATAATAATTTTATAATATAATTCATACTAACATTATCTTACGATTGATATAGTATAGTAGAATACTAATTCATTGACGTCGACAGCTATATTTCCATCAATGTTTAATAATATAATATGATACATTTGTGAGACGCAGTGTCGCAGTTGCTCCACAGTCCATAGGTGGGTCAGTTTTTTAGACGGCGAGTCAACGAAAAGCTCATCCTTTCTACACACATTTCGGATTTATACACTTACAAGAATGAATGTAAATGAATACTGTAATTAAAGCAACTTGTAACAACGCATACGGGATCCAAACTAATATTTTTGATAAAAACGTCGTATACTAAAAACATCACACGAAATAGAGAAACAGCTCATTTTTCATATTATTTTTAGTGTTCTATTACTGTGGTGCTGAAGCATGCACAACCTTCTCCCCCTAGACCCTAGTCTGTGCCTATGTCAATAAGCACGTTACATGTATATTGTATTTGTATATTACACTATACTAATATTTTGTTTGCCAGTTACCAAACAGTTTTCATACGAAATACCCATTGGCCATAATATAAATTTATGATCGGATGTAGCCAAAATAATTATCAGAATTATCAGATTTAGAAATGTACATGACATTCCAAGGTAGTTGAAACTGTAAACAGTTGTAAAAATAAAATAGTTTGAGCCAACTTTTTGATTCTATTAATTAATAGTTGGAATAATACATTGTGAATTTATTATATTTTATTGCTTATATAATTAATGTACCTACGTATAATAGAAAATACTCATAGTTTTTAATCTAATAATTAGATTCTAATGTACCTACTTATAATCCTTGAATTGCTTAGAATCTACCGTTTAACTAATAATAACTGCAAATATTGTTTTTAAGTTACAACATATTATTATAAATGCATATTGAACCTATACATACACACTTCAATTCATTCAAACTATATTTTAGGTATTCATAGTTTGTGTTACTAAATACTGATTTTAGTGGTTCCAAGCGATACACGACAATGCAGAAATGGTGAAAGTGAACAAAACAAAACGTAGGTGAAAGTAGTCAAAATCATTTATTCGACAACCATAATATGATATTCTTGCAGTTCAGAATAAAATAAAGTAAAAAAAAAACATCCAATAAATAAATAATAATATATTATAAGGTCATTATAATACTTAATGTAATGTCAGTGGTAGTTACTTAAGAGTTAAGACCTCAACAGTTCAAACTTTAAACAATATGTTATATTATATAACTGAATTAAACATTATTCTATTTATCTGTGATATCTATGTTTCCAAGATTCCGAGTGATGATGTGTTTATATTGGGCTATTTATAAAAATGTTAAATGTTATACTATTTTTCGATTAACGTTGATAACATTTTCGTTTTTAGGTCAAACAGCTTGAAAATGCAATTCAAGGTTCCTAATAAGTTGTTCTTACAGAAATTCAAAAATATTAAAAATAATAAGCCATTACGTATATTATTGTTTAAAAATATTTAGACTAATTTTAAGCTATTTATACGGCAACGGCATGAACATTATACTACATTATACTGCGCAGTACGTCAATATTTTATATTAACGTAAGTATAATTAAATAATAATTAATAATATATATTATGCTATTTTTATGACATAAATTAGTATATCATATACCTATAGTATAACTAATACAAAAATAAATTACTGGTATTAAACAATAGATACAGTTTCCCGGTGTTCACACTCTTGTAAAAATCTTTTACTTATAGGGAATCTGGACAATAAGATGTCTTCACTCGTCAGTGTATTATTTGTTTTCTCTCTCTGTTCCACGCGCAACATAGACAAAACGAATTTACGCAGAATCATTTTAGATTCTGAGTGGAAAAATGAATGTATTGATTTTACAATGATGTGTGTTTATTTATTTTTTTATTTTTTATTTATTTTAGATTCTGAGTGAAACGATGAATGTATTGATTTTACAATGATGTGTGTTTTTTTTTTATTTTTTTTGTGTCTGTGTACACGATAAGTAGTCGAAATAATGCTTCGATTTTTCTGAGGAGAAATAAATTTCCCAGTAGTTTTCAAAAGCGCCGGGAAAAACAAAAGAAAAATTAAGGAAAAACGGGAATTTTTACGAAAAATCGGTTTTCCAAAAAATCGATTTTGGTTTTTGGTGTAACTTTAAAACAAATGACCGTAGATACATGAAATTTTCAGTGTTTGTTTATATTTGCATTTACTATACACGATAATATTTTCAAAATATTTTGATTTATATTGAACTGTTTAGGGACATTTTCAGTTTCCAATTTTATAAGTTTTTTTTTTTTATGAATATCAATAAAAATGTATTTGTTGAGAAAAAATACTTGAAAATTTAATACAAGGCTCCTACTATATTGTTTCAAAGACCGATGAAAAATATTAAAAATCGTTAGTCACAGTTTTTTTTTTTTAAGCATTTAAAGTTCAAAAAATGACAAAATATGGGAAAATCACGAAAATTTGCAAATTATTTCGAGTTAGAAATTCATAAAAATTTTTCTTTTTAAATCTAAGATATGAAAATGTAATACAAGATTCCTTATGAGATTTCCTACATTTATCAAAAAAAAAAAATTCTATAAGAAAGTCAAATTAAATTTTTATGAGCGTTTGAAATTCAAATTTTTACAACATTGGATATTGACTCGATTTCTCATGTGGCGATTTCCTTATTTTGTTGTAATTCAAAAACGAATTACTGTAGATACATGAAAATTTCACTGAATGTTTATATTAGCATTTCCTATACACCATACAATTTTGAAAATATTTTGACACTTTTTGAGCCGTTTACGGACATTTTCAGTTTTCAATTTTTTTAGTTTTTTTTTTCTATAAATATTAATAAAGTTTTATCTGTTGGGCCAAAAAGTGTGAAAAATTAATACAAGGCTCCTGATATATTGTTACAATATTAATTGAAAAATATTAAAAATACATAGGCACAATTTTTTTTTATAAGCATTTAAAGATCGCATTTTGACAAAATTTATCAAAATCTCGAAAATTATCAATCATCGTAATTAATAAATTATAAAATGTTCAGTTTTTATAACTAAGGATTGAAAATTTAAAAAAAAGATTCTCATAAATAGTTCATACTGTAGCCAAAAAATCTAAAAAATATATGAGCACAGTTATTTTTTACAGACATTTTAAGTTCAAATTTGGGACGAAATTACATAATCAAAAACCTAGTATATCTATTTTAGTTATTTTGTTGTGAGTGTATAATACTATTCGTGGGTACTTGAAACTTCTAAAGTACACTATATTATATATCTATGATAGTATCAGGGTTTATTATTGATGTATAACGTGTTATAAGTACCTAATGGATATTGTGATATGATTAATTTGGGATTTATTATAGGTCAATTTTTTTTTAATACCATAGATATGTATATAATATGTCTTAAACCTAGACTGACATACCGTCTTCGCTCAGAATCGTTTTTCTTATACAATGATATTGTATCATTGGATTCAAATTTAATACCATCCATTATACAGTGACCCACTTGTAACCTACTGTACAGCAGAGCGACATCCACTTACCCACCTTTTTTTAAATTTTTTTGTGTCTGTGTACACGATAAGTAGTCGAAATAATGCTTCGATTTTCGACTTCAGTATCTTGTTCGATTGGAAAGTGAATATCGTTGGTGCACTGGGGAGGTCAAAATTTAAAATTCCCAGTACTTTTCAATAGCGCCAAGAAAAACAAAAGAAAAATTAAGGAAAAACGGGAATTTTTACGCAAAATCGATTTTTCAGAAAATTGAATTTGGTTTTTGGTGTAACTTTAAAACAAATGACCGTAGATACATGAAATTTTCACTGATTGTTTATATTTGCATTTTCTATACACGATAACATTTTCAAAATATTTTGATTTATTTTGAACAGTTTAGGGACATTTTCATTTTTCATTTTTTTTTTTTGTTTTTTTTCTAGAAATATCAATAAAATTTTATTTGTTAGTTAAAAAAACTTGAAAATTTAATAGAAGGCTTCTAGTATATTGTTTCAAAGGCAGATGAAAAATATTAAAAATCGTTAGTCACAGTTTTTTTTTATAAGCATTTAAAGTTCAAAAATTGACAAAATATGGAATAATCACGAAAATTAGCAAATTATTTTGAGCTAAGAATTCGTAAAAATTTTTCATTTAAATCTAAGATTTGAAAATGTAATACAAGATTACTCATAAGTTTTTCTACCTTTATCAATAAAAAAATCTCTACCGGACAGTCAAATTAAATTTTTATGAGCGTTTGAAATTCAAATTTTTACAACATTGGATGTTCACTCGATTTCTCATGTAGCGATTTCCTTATTTTGTTTTTATTCATAGACGAATAACTATAGATACATGAAAATTTCACTGAATGTTTATATTAGCATTTCCTATACACCATACAATTTTTAAAATATTTTGACTCTTTTTGAGCTGTTTACGGATATTTTCATTTTTCAATTTTTTTAGTTTTTTTTTTCTATGAATATCAATTAAGTTTTATACAAGGCTCCTGATATATTGTTACAATATCAGTTGAAAAATATTATAAATACATAGGCACAATTTTTTTTTATAAGCATTTAAACATCGAATTTTGACAGAATTTTTCAAAATCTCGAAAATTATTAATCTTCGTAATTATTAAATTATAAAATGTTCAGTTTTTATAGCTAAGGATTGAAAATTTAAAAAAAAGATTCTCATAAATAGTTCATACTGTAGCCAAAAAATCTAAAAAATATATGAGCACAATTATTTTTTACAGACATTTTAAATTCAAATTTGGACGAAATTACATAAAAAACAACCTAGAATAACTATTTTAGTTATTTTGTTGTGATTGTTTAATATTATTCGTGGGTACTTGAAACTTCTAAAGTGTACTATTATATATCTATGATAGTATCACGGTTTTTGTTGATATATAACGCGTTAGAAGTACCTGATGGATATTGTGATATGATTAATTTGGAATTTATTAAAGTTACCTACCTATTATAATTTATAGGTCAATTTTTTGTTTAATACCATAGATATGTATATAATATGTCTTATACCTAGACTGACATACCGTCACCGCTCAGAATCGTTTTTCTTATACAATGATATTATATCGTTGAATTCAAATTTAATATCATCCATTATACAGTGACCCATTTGTAACCTACTGTACAGCAGAGCGACACCCACTTGCCCACCTTTTTTTTATATTTTGTTTTCAAGTAATCTTGAGTAAAATCACTTATTAAAAAAACGATAGAATATTATTTTTTGGAAGATATGACATCGAGTTGACTTAATATTGTCTCAAAAACATTTTTAAAGAACATTTAAATTTACAAATTTTTATATTTTGAAAGTCGAATACAATACAGGTGTCATAAAATTATAAAATATAAAACCGATATGTCTACCCTCAAATTTATTATCCTAAATAACTTTTGTAATAGGTGATTTTAACTCAA